TGTTATGTGCTGTCTAGTCGGACCCGACTCATAGTGACCCCTCCTTGGGTTTCCAAGGCAGTATCACTAAGGAAGTAGACTGCCCCACCTTCCTTCCAAGGAGTGGCTGGTGGGTTTGAACCGCCAGCTTTTTGGTTAGCAATCAAGTGCCATAGCCATTATGCTACTGGAGCTGCCCAGGAGCTCTAGTGGTGTAGTGCCTAAGGCATTTGACTACTAACCAGAAGGTTGGCAGTTCAAACCCACCAGCTACTCCATGGAAGAAAGACTGGGCAATCTACTTCCATAAAGATTTACTGCCTCGGAAACCCAAAGAGGGTCCCTGTGAGTAACAATCGACTCAATGGCAGTGAGTCTATGCAACAGATTAAGAACCCAGAAATAAATTCATCCACCTATGGACAGCTGAAGGAGCTCTGGTGGCCCATACCTCACACCACATAAAAAATGAACACAAGATGGATCAAAGGCCTAAATGTAAAACCTAAAACTATAAAAATAATCAAAGAAAAAAATAGGAGAAAATTTAGAAACCCTAATTTATGGCATAAATATTCTATCAAGCATTAAAAAAAATGCACAAAAGGGGTCTTTTGCAGCAGATATGCCCAATGCAATACATCTTTTGATTTCTTGAGTGCTGCTTCCATGGGTACTGATTATGGATCCAAGTGAAATAAAATCCTTGGCAACTTCATCTTTCCTCCATTTACTCTATGATGTTGCTTATTGGTTCAGTTGTGAGGATTTATCTTTTCCTTATGTTGGAGTGTAATCCATACTGAAGACTGTAGTCTTTGATCTTCATCAGTAAGTGCTTCAAGTCATCCTCACTTTCAGCAAGCAAGATTGTGTCATCTGCATATTGCAGCTTGTTAATGAGTCTTCCTCCAATCCTGATGCCACATTCTTCTTCATATAGTCCAGCTTCTCAGATTATCTGCTAAGTATACACACTGAATAAGTTATGGTGAAAGACACAATCTTGATGTACACTGTGATGGTTAAGTTTGTGTATCAACTTTACTAGGCCTGGTTGAGTGGCTGGGCAGCTAGATGTAGTAATCTCCATGATGAGACTGGTAATCAACTCCATGGGGGAATCTACTGTGAGCAGCTGAGTAGCTACCTTTGGGTATGTGGTCTGCTTCCTGTATATAAGGAGAAGCCTTGGGGAATGGTCTCTAGCTTATGGCATGCTTGGACCCTGCATGTAGCCATGTCATTGTTTAGCAGCCTGCCATGCTCTGCCGACTTTAGGACTTACAATGGACTTGAGTTAATGGTCTGCCGAGTAGTTTGGTAACATCGGGACTGTGCCATTTTATTGGTCAACCTTGGGCTTGTTAGCCTCAGCAGCCAGTAACTGCCTGAGTGAAGAGATGCCTAGCCTCAGTAGGCCAGGAGCAAGAGGCAGAGCTGAAGCCCAAGGTCAAGGGGCTTTCACATAGTCCCTAGAGCCTGGCACTTTGAACTCAGATTTAAAGCCTCCACATTGTAAGAATAAACTCCTGCTTGTTAAGGCCATCCCGTTTGTGGTATATTTCTGTTAGAGTGGCACTAGGTAACCAGAACATATTTTAAACCATTCAATATTCCCTTATTCTGTTCAAATTACTGCCTTTTGGTCTATTGACAGGTTCCTCATTAGTACAATTAAGTATTCTGGAATTCCCTTTCTTTGCAATTTCCTTAATGTGTTATGATCCACACAGTGAATACCTTTTCATTGTCAATAAAACACAGGTAAACATCTTTCTGGTATTCTCTTCTTTCAGCCAAGTTTCATCTGATATCTGAGGGATGCAAATCAAAACAACAAATGAAGTATCATCTCACCCCAGTAATGATCAACAGAACAGAAAACAGCAAATGCTGGTGAGGGTGTAAAGAGGTTGAAATTCCAACACACTGCTGGTGGGACTGTAAAATGATACAACAACTGTGGAAAATGGTATGGCACTTCCTTAAAGAGTAGAGATACCATATGATCCAGCAATCCTACTACTAGATATATAATCTAGAGAAATAAAGGCCATGACACAAATACCTGCACACTCATATTCATCACAGCATTATTCACAAAAGCAAAAAGATGGAAACTTCCAAAGTACCCATCAATGGATGAGTAGATAAACAAACTATGGTACATACACATAATAGTATACAACATTAAAGAACAATGATAAATCTGCAATGTCTCACAACATGGATGAACCATTATGATGAGTAAAACAAATCAATCACAACCAATCAATCACAAAAGGACAAATATTTTTGAGACCACTATTATAAAAAGTCAAGAAAAAGTTTATGCCCAGAAAGAAACGTTCTTTGATAGTTACCGGGGATGGGAGGGAAAATGACTAACTAGATAGTAAACTCAAGTCACTGCCGTTGAGTCAGATCCTACTCATAGCAACCCCTCCTTGGGTTTCTGAGGCAGTATCACTATTGAAGTAGATTGCCCAACCTTCCTACCAAGGAGTGGCTGGTGGGTTTGAACCTTCTGGTTAGCAGTCAAATGCCTTAGATACTATGCCAGCAGAGCTCCTAACTAGATAGTAGACATGTATTAACTTGGATTAAGGGAAAGTCAATGCACAATTTGGGATAGGTCAGCACAATATGACCAAGGCAAAGAGAGGTGCACAAGAGTTAAATGACAGTAAATGCTATTACATACACCATCCTGCAATGACAGTAATAACAAACAATAATTTACAAGTGAATATGTAGGTAGATATGTAAGCTGAACAGGTGTGAGATGGCATATGGGAGTATACCCATGAGCATATATAGGTTTGGTAGAGGATATTTCTACATATGCATTTATATGTAGTGAGCTAAAAATATATCCAAGAATATAGTAGAGCATACAAGGGGCATAGTTATGAAAACTTCTTAGCCATAATCAAACACTTTAAGGGACTGAGTCACTAGGCTTGAGAACTTAGGACCATAGTCTTGAGGGACATCTAGATCAATTGACCTAGTATAGTCCATAAATACTGTTCTACATCCTACTTTGCTGAGTAGCAACTGGGGTCTTAAAAGCTTGCAAGTGGCCCTATAAGATACAATTATTGGTCTCTTTCCAGCTGGAGCACAAGGAAAATCAAAGACTCAAGAAAACCATTAGTCAAAAAGACTATTGAAACCAGAAGAACTAGCCAACCTTTTGATTCTTGGTGCCATTATGACATTACCTCCCTGGTGGCAAAGTTCCTGCTTTGTTCCCTGGTAACTGTCTGTCTGACACCTGTTCCCAGATGTTTCATAGCCCAAAGGCCTGTGTTCAGCCCATAGACAGTGGCTTGGTCCAGAGTGTTTAAAAAAAAATTTAATTAGTTGCCAGCATTTAAAAGCCCGCTCAAAACAAAATGTCCACTGCCATTGGTGGGTGGCTACCACTACTGACTACTCTGATCAGGATCACAATAGATCTAGGACAGGGAGAGAAAAAAATATGTACAACAAAACTAAAAACCATAAAGAGATCAGAATTACTTGTCTGATAGAGACTGGTGGAATCCCCGACACAGTGGCTGTTAGATACGCTTTAAACCTGGAACTGACACATTCTCGGAGATCACCTTTCAGCCACACAATAGGCCTGTAAAGTGAACAATAACATCTGTGAGGAACTTTTCCTTAGGACAATCAAGTATACAAGACCAAAAGTCTTGGACCAAAAGTCCAAATCCTTGGGCAGTATTTGTCTAAAAACAAAGCTCAGAAGGCAGGAAAGATAGGTAAATGGAAACATGGCCCCCAAGGAGAAAGTGGGAAGAGTACTGTTACATTGCAACTAATGTCATGAAACAAAAAAATTGTATAAATTTCTGAATGGGAAACTAATGTGCTCTGTCAGCTTTCATCCAAATCACAATAAAATGTTTAAAAACAGAAAAGTGAGAGATCTAGAATTCTGGGTTTTGAGAAGTAGGTTTGGTGGCATAGTGGTTACAGCATTTGGCTGCTAACCAAAAGGTTGGCTGTTTGAACCTACCAGCCTCTCTGTGGGAGAAAAATGAGGCAGCCTGCTTCCATAAAGATTTACAATCTTGGAAACCTTATGAGATGGTTGTCCTCTGTCCTATAAGGTCACTATTAGTCAGAATTGACTCAATGGCAGTGGACATTTGGTTTTGAGTGGGTTTTTAAATGCTGGCAATTAATTAAATTTTTTTAAAACACTCTGGACCAAGCCACTGTCTATGGGCCAGACACAGGCCTTTGGGCTATGAAACATCTGGCAACAGGTGTCAGACAGCCAGTTACCAGGGAACAAAGCAGGAACTTTGCCACCAGGGAGGTGATGTCATAATGGCACCAAGAATCACATTGACTTAAATCTTAATGATAAGGTCTGAGAAGCCACAATTTTTCAGCTCTGTCTCAGATTTTGTGAGCATGGATTAGTAAAAAGAGTCCAAGACTTGGAATTTGGAAACATAGCCCTGGACTCAGCTCTGCCAGCAATAGATCACATTCAGGGTTGAAGAACCCATTTAATTTCTCAAGGCCCACGTGAGGATGTTAGATAAGATTTGTGAATCTTTCAAATTCTTTATTTCTAAAAGTATCCTTTCAGAAAGCCCAAAGACATATGAACATGAAGAGAAAAAGAAGTTTCTTCTCATCTTTAAAACATATATGTCTACAGAAGAATTATCTAAAGTTCTGATGTTGTTGTATATGCTACCTGAATTTTCAAGGGAAAGTGAAAAATATCACAATTGAAAATCAAGAGACAAATCTCCACCAAAGCAAATTCTAATTTCATATTTCCCTATCAACAAAAACATTGCCACAATATGCTTAATGCTGTAACTGTTTTTTGGAAAAGAGTAGAATTAATATTTATAATTTATGATCAGGTGATGTTTGGACATAAACTCTTTGTTATATTTGATCTTTTTTTTTTTTTTTTGTAAATAACAAAAAATCACAAGCTATAAACAGCCAACAGTTTACAATGTTTTCAGAATACACAATTACTTTAATTCTGTAATGATTGCTTCCAGTTTTTCCTTAAGGGCACCACAAAATTCACCCACCTTTCCCTCTTTTCTGTAAAACTGAAAGGTTGGTATGCACATGATCCCACAATCTTTAATCAGCTCCTCACACTCATCAGCATCCACTTCAAGGAACACCACATCATCATACTTGTAAGACAGGGCATAATATAGTGGCTTGATTATTTTGCAGGGCCCACACCATGTTGCTGAGAAGTCTACCACCACCAGTTTCTCCCCTGCCTCTTTAAGCACAGCCTCAAAGTCCTCCTTGCTCTGGATCACTTTCACTTTGTCACTTTCCACTGGTTTAGTTGTTTCTTCTGAGGGCTTTGGGGTATCACCTTCCAGGGACTCAATTGTCTGTTCTGAGGGTTTCAGAGTGTCTCCTTCCAGGGGCTTGATAGTTTGTTCTGAGGACCTCGGGGTGACACCTTCCTCTGGCTTGGCTGCATCTGTGAGCTGTGGAATGTCTGCCTCCTGCCTGGGTTGTGGCATTTCAGGTATCTCAGGCATGTTTGTGATCTTTGGGGCCAAGTCCTCCTCCTGAGCCTGGGCTGGTTCTGAGAGCTCTGGAACTGGGAGAGAGGCATTGCTGGACAGAACCTGTAATGGACTTTCTGAACAAAAAAGTAAATAAAATGTCAAAGGAAGAAACAAAAAGAAGTTTGATCATTTACTCCTAGGAAGATTGATGACATGAAGTCTGATAAATGATATATGAATATATATTAATATTGTTGAGTCAGACCTGACTCATAGTGACCCCCCCTTGGGTTTCCGAGGTGGTATCACTACGGAAGTAGATTGTCCCATCTTTCTTCCGAGGAGTGGCTGGTGGGTTTGAACTGTCAGCCTTCTGGTTAGCAGTCAAGTGCCTTAGGCACTACGCTACCAGAACTCCATATTAATATATATGATATATTAATTTGAATAATCACATTCAAGATATCAAATCACAAGAAATTATATGTATCTTTTATGTAAGGTTTTTTTGTTTGTTTTAACTACAGCACTCTTGGTAGGAATCAACATTGCTAACTACTCCCTAGCACTAAGGCCCCAGAGGTTATTCTCTCCCTTCCCCCATACCATTAGTGTTGCCTTCATTTATCTCTTCTTGATTATGCAGCTTCATTTTCAGTTCTTCCAGGGCTCCAACTTTATCACTTTCCATTTTTAGTTGTCCATCTACATCCACTTCTTACACTTCATATATTCTTCATCTGCCTCATAGTGAAGACGCAGCCATACCCTCCAGCTTTTTCCAACCTAACATCATAATATGAGTAATAACCTGAAATCGTGTAGCACTTACAGTTGGTTTCCTCTGTCTGCACTCACAACAATGATATTTGAGAGCTTAATCACTTAGGTGATTACCCTGCACATGAGGCTAGGTTTTCACTCATAACCATTATGTCATGTATTACTCACAACAATGAGGTAAGTACCATTATGATCACTACTTTTATAAATGAGACAACTGAAGCTTGGAAAAGTTTATGTAACTTGCTCAATGTCACAAAGCTAGTATGCAGAGCAGATTACAAAACCCACACCCTTGACTGCTACACTATACGGCACTGATTGCCAAATGTTCTATCCAGGTTTGGTAACTTGAAACCAACTTTCCTAAAATCTCCCTCCAGGATTCTCCAGCTATAGCTGTCTCTTTTATGACTCATTCACCATAATCATCAATGAAGAAAATGCTTTTAACCATGTTGTAGGGTCGCAGTAAGGAGAAGAGGACGCACAAAAGTGGGGTTAAAGAGAAGTTTTTATTCTGCGCTCCCAAGAGGGGCCCGGGCAAGGTTCATGAGTCCCTGAGAGGGGCCAGAGAAGTCGCACTGCCCAGGTGAAAGAAAGGGTTTTTTATAGTGATTTTCTTCCTGGTTCTTAGGGGACTGGAGTGAGAGCAGGGTATGTGTTACAGGAACCAATAAGGTTAAAGTACCCCATTAGCATGGGGGGTAGGAAGTAAGGTTGAAGCATTTCATTAACATAATGGGCAGGAAATGGTTGGGGGCTTTGGTGAGTAAGAGTCAGGTGCTGGGGTCTTTCGCAAGCAAGGGCTATGTGTTGGGGTCTGGTATGGGCTCTGGTCAGGTGCCTCCTTGCTTGACCAGTTCTTATAATCCCCTCCTGCTCAGTTATTCACCCGCCTGGCCAGCCATGTTTCTGCCTAACATTCCAGCCTTTTTTGATGATAAAGGACGAAGTTATCATTCTGGCTGCTTCCTGCTGAATGGGGTCGAAGTGGGGGTTAAAGGCTGGTGTTAGTGGGAATTGGTTTGGTTGGTAGGCGAGTGTACAGGTGTAGAAGTAGTTGGTTAACAGTAACTCTGGACATTTCTTTGAGCCGGTTTTGGAGGAATCTAAGGAGGCAAGGGGCGAAAAGAAAAAAGAGAGACTTAATTAGTACAAGAGGTCCTATAAGGGGTAATAACTAGGCTGTTAGTGGTGATTGGAACCATTCAAATGGTGAGGTTCCCGTTCGATGTCCATTGCGTAGTTCCTCACTCAGTCGAGTCAACGTATTGACGTTTTGTTCCACCATACCGGATTCGTTGATATAATAGCAGCATTCTTCTTTAAGAAGGAGGCAAGTTCCAACTTTTTCTGCTGTTAAGAAGTCTAGGGCTCTTTGATTCTGTAAAGTAAAACTTGCGCTAAAGAGGTTAGTTGTCGCTGGAGGGAAGCCAGAGAATCTGCGTTGGTTTCAAGTGTTACTTCCAGATGGCTTTGGGAATCTTGGGCTGATATTATACTATGACCCAAGGCTCCACCTGCTATTCCTCCCACTGCAAAAGCGGAGGTTAAACTGAGGTCCACCATGATAGGTAGAAAAGCAGATCTTTTGGTTCTGGTTTCAGGTAATAGTCAGGAAAATTCGGATTCCCCATATAAAGTGAGGTGGGGTGCTATTGTTACTGGAAAGCAGGGGCTTGGAGTGGTGGAGTTCAAACATTTAGTTAAAGTTCCATTACACCAAAAGTAAGTGCTGGGTGCTACAGAGGTATAGGTCATAATAAAGATGTTTAGTGAGCAGAAACTGTGCCTCAGGGGGGGTAGATAAGGTGTTGTTGATGAAAAAACAAACTTGGGAAGGATGTGTCTGGTTAAGGGTTTTGGTTCCCAAAGGGGCACTTGTAGCAGAGGAGTGGTGCAGGAAGGATTGGGTGTGGGTGATTGTTGAGTGGAATTAATGGGTACAGCTGCAAGTAAAGGTCGTAGAAGAGAGGCACAAAGGAAACAGTGGGAAATATTGGGTAAAGTGTGAGAATGGTTAAGAAAGAATAAAGTATGTTGAATAATTTATACCCATGAAGACACCGGGACCTTCTGAGGTCTAATACAGAAAAATGAATGGGAGATGGTGGAATATGAGACAGGATTGTAAGGATTGGGGACAACAGGGTGAATAAGGATTACAGCTTCATTAATGAGGTGTAAGTCTTGTACTAGACGATATGAGCTGTCAGATTTCCTTACCGGTAGGATGGGAGTATGATAAGGTGAGTGTGTGGGAATTAAAAGACCTTTGGACAAGAGACGCTAGATAAGAGGTACGTTGAAGAAATTGAAAACTGGGATCTTGAGGGAAAAATGGAAGGGCTCTTTAAGTGATTAAGAACAGGTGAATGGTGGGTAGTAATGGTAGGAGTGGAAATGTTCACACAACTGGATTTACTAAATCAGGAGATAAAGGAGGATTCGGTGTGGATGTTGGAGTAGGGATTAGTGATAATAAAAGTGTTGCTGAGGGGTCCTGTGTGCAGTGTAGGGTGACCCCTAATTTTAAAAGAAGGTCTCTTCCTAAAAGTGGGGTGGGGCAGGTAGATATCACTAAAAATGAGTGTAATAATTCTGTTGTCTATAAGGCATGTGACAGGACCTGTTACCTGGGGTCTGGAGGGGACCCGTCAATTCCCATCACTGAGACCGGGGAGGGGTATAATTGTCCTGGGAAGGAAGGTAAGACAGAATAGGTAGCCCCCGTATCGACCAAGAAGGATGTTAACTTACTTACCCGCTACCTTGGGTGTTACCCTGGGCTCGGCGAGAGTGATTGGGGTCGATGAGTCAGAGCTCCTTCAGTCTTTGGCTGCCAGACCCAGAACAGTCAACGGCGGGTCAGGGGTTGGAGGGACTGGCCTTCCTTCCGTGTCTTGGCACTGAGGGACAGTCACTCTTCCAATGTCCCATTTGACTGCACGCCGGACAAGGTCTGGAAGGTTGTCATGGGTGTGGACAACAGCTGGCCCAGTGGCCTTCTTCTCTGCAGGTTCCAGTTGGGAGGTTGCTTCTGGCTGGTAGAGTAGGTGCCAGGGCTGCCACTAAGGCTTGGGCTTGTAAATTAGCCTTCTGGAGTGCAGGATTCCCGAATGTTAAAGACTTTAAAGGCCATATTCACCAGGTCTCAGATGGTAATCTGGGGGCCCTCTTTTGTCTTTTTCAGTTTCTTTCTAATATCAGGGGCAGATTGGGTGATAAAGTGAGTAGCTAAAACAGTAGCTCCTGCTGGGGAGGTTGGGTCTAAGTGAGTATATTGTAAAAGGGCCTCAGTGAGGCGATTAAGAAAAGTTGCTGGGTTTTCATTAGGGAGTTGAGTAATCTTCCGCAGATTCACAGCTTTATGTGAAATAGCCTGTAGGCCTTCTAGGAGGTACTGGAGCATTTTGTCCCTGCAAGTATGGCCATTCCGCCCAGTTTGGGTTTCTAGTTGGTATTCCCATCTGGGGTCCTGCCCAGGAACGGCTTCTGGACCTACTGGCATGGTAGAGTCAGTTAAAGGAGTTAGATTGGTATGTTCCCGAGCAGCCCTAAGAACACGTTCCCTTCTGTCAGAAAGAGAAGGGGCTGTTGAGAATGGGTGTGGCTGCTCACCAGGAAGGGTAAAAAAGGACTCTGGAGAAGTGGTGTCCGGAGATGTCAATGAAGAAGAAAGTGGGGGTGGCGGAGATGGTGTAGTAGGGTTAACAGGAGGTGGAGATGAAAGTGCCTGTTCTGAATAAGGGGGTGGCCTATGAGGTGGGGATGAAAGAGATTCAGGTGGGTCAGAAAAAGAGGAAGTTAGATGCTCTGGTGGATGGGTCTCAAAAGATTCTTAATCTAGATGGACTGAGGCTAACACCATAATTTTCTTTAAATCCATTTGGAAAAGTTTTTGATCATGTATTCTAACACAGTAGATTTACTGGGGATACTTCCCATAGTGACAGTGGTGCACACAAAGCAAAAGACAAGTCCCGAGGACCTCTCTGATGCCTGGTCGTCTGCTCTTCTTACGAAGGTTTCAGTGGGTCTTTGGCTCAGTTGTCTCCGTATAAACCCGGAGTGGAGGGCTAAGCCACACCGTTATGCCAATCCGACCTCACACGGAATGCAACTTCAGGACCATTCAAATTCCGCGACTTTTCGTCTTGGAACTTCACATATATCATTCACACTGAACACAGACAGACAGACACCAACCCCGACGAAACTGAATGTGAACTCTCTACTAGAGCTGCTAGAGGGACTCGAACCCTCTACCCTACCTAACCTGGCCAAGGGGGACTCGAACCCCCGAAGAGGCTGAAGGGGACTCTAACCCCAGAGAGCTGCTAGAGGGACTTGAACCCTCTACCCTGTCTAACCCGGCCAAGGGGGACTCGAACCCCCAAAGAGGCCAAAGGGGACTCTAACCCCAAAGATTTTAGGCTAGGGAAATTGAGAGGGGTTGAGGAGTCTTTAGAGGGGGTTTGGATAGGAGTTTGGTGTGTTAGGAGAATTTGGGTGGTATTGCAAGTAGAGCAGAGAAAGAGGGAGAGAGAGAGAGACAGGAGCGCAGGTAAAAGAAAGTTTGGATGTAGGGAACCTCTGGCCATTTGCCTGTGCAGCGACAGAAATTATCAAGATCAGTGAGGATGTTAAAATCAAGCTAGCCCCAGGGTGAGGAGATTGAGTAGGAGATACCCCAGGGGAATAGTTGGGTCTGGTTTGGAGTTCTGGTTACCTATAATCCCTTAAATCCCAAGGGAAAGATTCTGTCAAAGGACCAGCATCCCAGCCGCTTTTGGCAGAATCCCGGAAATGGAGACTGGAAGAAAACAGTGGACGTCTCCGCTGTAGTCTTCAGTCTTAGAACGGAAAGACAGGGAATCCAAGGCGTCCCTTAAGATGCCTCTG